CCTGCTCCTGTCCCTGGCCATGCCCCTCTCCCTGTCCTTACTCCTGTCCCTGTCGCTGCTCCTGTCCCAGCCCCTGTCCCTGTCCTTACTCCTGTCCCTGTCGCTGCTCCTGTCCCAGCCCCTGTCCCGGCCCCGGTCGCTCAGCGCCAGCCGGGGGAGGACGCGGCTCCCGGGAGGGGACAGAGCCGGTGCCCGGGGCTGCGGGCAGGACTCGAGCGATGGGAACACGAGCTCACTCTGTGCGTGCTCGCACATAACTTAGGAGAATGTGCCCGTCCCCCGCCGCGCCCGGGGCTGCCCGTCCCTCCGCGGGGATTTACCCAGCAGCGCAGGCAGGGCAGGGGAATGCCAGGACCTGGTGGCTATCTCGGCCCTGCCCCAGAGTGACACTGGGGCTGGGGGACCGCGGCTTGCAGGGGCTCCTGCCGCGGTCCCGACTGGAGACCTGGGCAGCCCTTCTGTGAGCAAGACCCTAGACCTTTCCCCTAGGTGAGGAAGACTTTTCCCGTGTTGCTGAGGCTGGAAAGTGAAGGTGCCACAAAACTTGTAGCCAATTAAGATGTTAAGGATGTTTCCACAACGTTAGGAGGTTTAGATCTGACATGCCACACTACTGCTGTGTTAAGGATGGGGATTAGACATGCCACCTGGGGAAGATAAAAGCTTTCAGCTATTATATTTGAAAGTACCTACTTGCAAGCATGGAATTTTGAGCTGCTAAGAGTTAAATGATACCTTCTAGTTGGCAATGATGAGTATTAAGTGCATCTGGGAATTGTCCCCAAGTGACTGTAGCTGATTTTGGTGTAAATCTGAGCTTCTGATATATTGCACATCTCAGAACTAGCTTAGAGCTCTCAAAGACAAAGTAAGTAATGCCACTGAACAATGGAGGCTGGAAAGCAGTTTATGGTGCAGTAACTTTGAAGTGTCACTGGCTCAGATCAAGATGACTGGTGTTTGAATAGAAAGCCAGATGCTGCTCATTAATGTGTACAATTATTGTACACATTGATAGAAGATCTGGACAACAGTTATAACCTCTTTGAATTGTCATAAGCAGTAAAAGAGTCAAGTTAGGAGAATCAAGTCCCTGAAATATACAGTGTATTTAAGATGAATCAGACACCTGTGTTTTGTTTTGTTTCATGTTAAATAGCAGTGCAAGTAGTTCAGCTCATACTCAAATACAAATACCATGGCTACATGTGATTAATATATACATAATTTCTCACCTTAACACACTCACAATTTTTGATCCTTTCTAACCACTCTTGGTTAGTTACAGAAACTAAACATATGCTACTCAAAAAAAGGCGTAAGTATTCATATAGGTTCCAAATTATTATTTTATAATTATTTTCAGCCTCCAGTCTCCAAACAGAAAACAAATGCCTTGATAGAAGAACTGAAGAATTCACTCACCACTTTTTTCTTGACTCCATTATTTTCTTTCATCATGCCATTGCTTTGCTGTTTGTTCTCCATTCTTGTTAAATTCTTGTTTTTTCTCCACCTTGTTAAATAATACCTGAGGAAAAAAAGAGGGAAAGTTGTGCTACTGTTCTGGGGGTAAAAAAGGTACAGGCTCTTTAGTAGACATGCTGTCACTAACAGAGGAGGAACATCAGACCCACTGCAAGTATTAAAGAAGTTTAATCAGGTGGAACTACATTACTATGGCTGAGTTCCAGCCAAGGCATTTGGATTAATTGTTGGTGTGATTCTAATTATTATTAGACCTTTTGTGAGCTAGGTCATTGTGCATTTGCAAAGAAGAAGTCCATTTATTTACTGTTCTGTCAAGAAAATTCTTGCCTGTACATCATCATATGTACTTAAATAATGTTATAGGGCATTTTAATCTTAATTTATAAAGAAACTAAACTGGTTTCTGGTGTTTCAGAGAGGATCTGATATTTACATGGTGCTTCATTGTATGATCTTGGACAGACTGCCAGTTTGTTCAGTCAATTTGGAGCATGGATTACTGTGTTATTCTGCTTCAACACCTTGAGATGACAGCGCATTTCAAGATTTTTGCTTAAGTGGCCATTATGGTAATGATAGATCCAGTCCTGAAAACAAGTTGTCTTCCAGACAGGCGTCTACAAGACAGTGAGCTATGAGATGTGGGGAGTAGCAGGCAGTTTGGTGAAGCAGCACTCGGGATTGTTGAGGCCATGATACTTACAAGAGGTTTTTAGGATGAAATCACTTATATGAGACATTGGCAGTACTGGGGCCATTATATCAGATTATATCAGTCTAAGCTTTTAAGTAAGAGAAACCAGAGATGTAACAACATCCTAGAAGTACTAAAGCCAGAAAAGTTACCTTCCTCTCTCTCTACTTACCAGTGTGGTCAATACTAACAACCTGCAAACCTCCTTTTCCTCTGCTTCAAGGGGCCTTAGTGAATTACTGCTAAATTGTTCTTCAGAAAGGGCTTTCATGGAAATGTATTTCACTTTATAGGATAGAGGATTAGTCACATCAAACAGTTCTTTCCCATGCCACATTCAACAAGTATATGAAAAATGTCATGACCTATTCATTGAAGATCCCACATCCCATACAGATTTCATATATGGATAATATAGATAATTAAATTAATGAAGGTTCTGACAGAGCACAAACAAAGCATCATCAAACTGGAATTTAAAAGCTGATAAAGAGTATATGGGTCATAACACTGAAACAGAAACAACAGAGTGAGAAACAATCTGCTAAACATCTAAGGAAACATAACCTCACAGCTAAGCCACAAGCAGGGATAACTTGTGTCTGCCTTCCCTCACTGAACTTATTTTTATGTTGCTGAATTTTTTTCAGAACATCTTTAAAACATTCTAAGATATGTCTGGTGTGTCTGGAAAGTTTAACTGCAATGCACCATCAGTGTAAGTGTCAATATTGAGCTACCCTTCCTATATTTCAGGTAACTCACTTTCACTTATTTAAGATATCAGCTTTACTGTAGCAAAAGGAATGTTACCATATCCAGAACAGACATTCTAGTTGATGAAAAAAATAAGAAATCTGGGCTGGGGTTGGAGTAGAAGTCACGTAAAGCCTGCATGGATTTGTCAATGTTATTTTTGCATCTTTTTGACTCGTGCAGGGAAGAGAGACATGATTGCAGCAAGCAGAGACCTGGTCTTCAGATTGCAGAGTTCAACAAAATCTAAGGAAGTGATGATCCATTTAGGGGAATGAAAAGCTCATATTTGCTTTGATGTTGTTGTTTACCACTCACTGAAAAATTTTAATAATGTGGAAAAGTATTCCTTCCCTCTGAAATTCATATTGCTAGTACCAGCTAAAGTTGCTAAAGCTGTCGATCCAAAGATATTTATTCATTATTTTTCCTTTGTCACAGCAGATTAGATTTTCCTAATCTAATTTAGTTTGCTTATCTACTTATCCAACAGTTTATTTAGCAATGTATGGGTTGAGTTCACTGGTAGGACAAGGAATACAGCTGAGTCCTATGAATTGTTAGCCTTGGCAAGAAAGGCTCAGCAGTTCACAAAAATGGAACATTATGACTGGCACAGCAAACTGACTTGGGAGAGGTATGAATAAACCTACTGAAATCCAAGTTAATTTTGAACTTGTATTGAACATTCAACTTTCATTTACTGACTACAAGTCAGGCAAAAGAAAAGCTGTTGGAAAGCTGTCATGTTCAGAAAAAGCAAATATGCAAAGGGAGCAGTTCAGGTGAACTAAGATTCTAAACAGCCATATTTGCTAAGCTGAATAATAGAATTGCCAAGGAGATGACCACCTCAGGAAAGCTGAGTTAAAGTACACAGATGTTAAAAAAAACCCAACAAGACCAAGCCAAACTAAAAAGCGCATAAAACCTATACGAGATCAATTATTGTTGTCCAGTCTGAGCATAAGGTTCAGTGGCCAGTGAGGGGCCATTTGCCATCTTCATCAGGTGAGTGTGGGCTAACACCAAGGCCTCAGTCACTCCACCCAAAGCAAAACATAAATAAGTTTCAAGCAGTTTATCTGTGATACGAAAGATTCTCCTGTCACAAATTCCTCTTGATGGGCATGCACGGCTTTCCTATCTGTCTCCCAAATACAAAATTATACTCTCTCCATAGAAAAATAATGTCTATGTCAACATTACCCTACTATGGATGGGAGAAATGTGGAAGAACAGCCTCCAGCTGACAAAATTCACTTGTATTTATAAACTTGTATAACCTCTTAGGGATGGAAAGGGCTTTTTACCCCTCAGGACATACTTCTTTCAACTGTAGCACAGAATAGTTTGCTTTCTTTTAAGAGCAGGAAAAAGAAACACCAAGAGAGACACCACAGTAAGGTGTGAATGACAAAGCTTTGGAAAACACACTGGTGTAAAAATAACCCAAACAGATTCAGTAAGTCTTATTGTCCATGATAGACTGACATCTAATCATTTTTGGCTTAGGGAGACAATATTTCCCAACTTAATTACTTTGGTTTTCTTTGCTTTGTAGTGGAAATAAGTCCATGTTTCAAAAATACTTTTTTTTTATTTTTTTTTTTTTTTTTTGTAATTCAGCACTAAAACTCTGACAAAAGAGCATGGAGGAGAAAAGTTTTGCGCCTCACTCTTATTCCACAGCTTGTGTGTTGCTATCTTTTTTCTACTCGACTATAGCAGAAGTTTTCCATGGCTGAGTGCTTGTGCCTTTCAAAAATGGAGCTGCTCTCACAGTGTAAGAGATGTAAGCTGAGGACTTGCCTGTGCTTCATGACAGATGCCTCTGCCCCTAGTTTATGGTGTGTGAATGTGCTCCTCTCCCTGGTTCTTTAAAGCATAAATACACACTCACACAGAAGAAATCCACCATCAATTAATTAAAAGATTGATTAATTAGAACATTCAATGTGAAGAAGACGTTTTGAGTTTCTAAATGTCTAAATAAGGAGTAACAGCTTATGTAGATCCTAGTAAATGACACAGCTACCTGATTAAAATAGGTACAATGGAACTCCATTAAGAACTGATTATTTTCTTCTCAAGCAGTTTTGTTAATTTGGATCTATTCTGATTCTAGTGAGATGGTTCAAATCAATGTTTCCTACAGTGTTTATGAAAAATGTCTAGCAGTCCCAATATTAAAATACCATTGATGGAATCAGATGGGGTATGACTTTAATTAGACACAGCATTCCCATGGTACTGAACTATTTACAAGAAGTTATTCTCAAATACTTCTGGTAGACACCCCAGCTCCCAGAAATACCTGCATTTTAAGTAATTAATTTACATAGTGGTAAAAAACATGTCTTTTTTTCCTGTACCCATAGTATCCACCCTAAAGTGCCTTTGCAAAATGATAAATTATTATATTTGCATTTCAATATTTCATACAAGTCATGATCTGATCTCTTATACTGAGAGGTGGAAAGACTGAGTTTCTATCTCAAGGTGAAGTGTCCTGTTTTGGGTTGTTGTTGGGTGTTGGTGGATTTTCTTCTAAAAAATTCCTGCGAAAATTAAAGCTATTTTCCATAGAAATGTGTTACAGTAGGAGAGGAAGATTTTGGAGTTAATGACTAGTTACATAGAAGCTGAATACTTGGCTAGCACAGGAAATTATTTGTTTATAAATTTCAAAACACTGGTTTATACCAAGATAAATCTATTCTGCCCTCCCCAAGTCAACCCCTTGAGAACATTGTCAAATTTGCTGCAAAGTGTCAAGTCCAATTTCTAGATGCTACTCACCACTTACCTGAAGTATTCTTCACTTCCAGCAAAGTTCAATGCAGCTCAGAAGCAGCCCTCTTCAGAATTGCTGCTGCTGCCTTCTTCTCTAAAATAGGGACAACTATTTTAGAGAAGAAGTAAATTGAATGTAAAGCCAGGTTTAACTCTTTTATACCATTTCAGAAGTAATAAATAATTAACAGTAAAAACAAAGAATAGTATGACGCTTCAGCTGGAATTCATGCAATGTCTGTTTTTTGCCCAATAGAAAACAAACTGCCTTGTATGGCCGTGATACCCTACAAGAGGTCTTTGTTCCAGATACCACAAACCGTGAAAAAGCTTTGCTTCCTGAATTTGAGCCATTAGACATGTGAAATGCAAGTGCCTAAGGCTAGGACCTGCATTCTTATATTTTTACCTGATTACAAGTGACTATACTGAGGAACACCCACAGCATTCCACGTGCTATAAATAGCTTTTAACAGTGATGTCTTGGGCCAATACTTGAGCTATAAATAGCTTTTAAGAGTGGCCAATACCTGAGATGATGTGGGAGGAGTCACCCCTTTGCAAGATTATAGAAGGCTGGGACAGTACTGTACAGAACACACTGTACAGTAATTAACCTCACAGTAGCCAATAAAAAAGATTTACCTTGTAAATCTTTGTGCCATAGAGAGAAGCTCCATATCAGTGTTAGTTTAAAAATTGAACAAAATATGGATCAGGACAAGGGAGTAGAAGTTCTGACTTTGTTATA